TGTTGTCTCCCTTTAATGTACCCTAGGAAAGAAGAACAAGAGTTGCCTCTCCTAGAAGTAATTGAAAGGAAGAAGCCATCCCTATTCTGAGTTGTTTAGATATATTTCTTAGGCTTTTTCTTGCCCCTTCCCTCTCCCCCCCCCCTCCAACCCCCCCAGCCCAAAAAAAAAAAAAAGAAAAAGAAAAAAAGAGAACCCTTTAATACAAAAAACTATTCTATATGGGTGTGGGGAGAGGAGGGAGGCTGTGTATAAAGCAATGTTAGATGTGACTTCACAATTTTTCTTTTCCACAAGATCATGTGAAATAGTATGGTTCTTAATTTTTAATGTAGAGGAAAATTGGTTAATTTAAATGCATTTGATTTCATGTATATGTGGTTATTAGGTATTACTTGTTTCCTACTTAAAAGAGAGGAAAAGTGATACGACAAGAAGTAACTCTCAGTTTTAAAATATTTGACACTGTTTCCAGTCATTTTTTTTCAGATTTCACCACCAAAGAGTGCCTCTGGTAATCCTTGTCTGTGGAACTGCTTGTGTTGGGAAGTCCACTATAGCCACCCAACTTGCCCAAAGGCTAAATTTGCCGAATGTTTTACAGGTTTGCTCATCACTTGCGCAAGGTTTTCCAAGGGCTACTTATTTTCAGGATGCACACTGATACTGTTATCTATGATTTATTGTTACAGACAGATATGGTTTATGAATTGCTACGAACATCAACAGAGTATGTTATGATTCTCTGTTTTTTACTTATTTTTAATGACTGAGTTCACTGCTGCAAGGCTCCATCTTGTTTTCAGATACTCCTATAGAGGGGGTTCTACTAAATGGCCCAATAACAGTAACTAAAGATATTTTCCTCAGAGATATATGATATAAAGAATCCAGACTTTTGTGGAATGGAGTTTAGTGAAATGGAAATTGTGTGCTTATGACAAGGAGGATATGTAGCACACAAGTCGTTAGTTGTTTTAAAATGTTTCTACAGTTCAATTTATTAATACCTATAGTGCGTTTCGTCTCTTTTATTTCAAAAAAAATTAATACTTATAGTGCGTTGTATGGTTTTTTTGGTTAGTTACAATTTTTAATAATGCCAGCTGCAATGTTGTCCTAAATTTTGATGCCTGATTTCATCACTTTTCTTGTCCTGTTTAGTGCTCCATTGGCCTCAACTCCTGTATGGGCACGGAATTTCAGCTCCTCAGAGGAATTAATTACTGAGTTTTGTCGAGAATGCCGGATCGTTCGAAAAGGTGATTTCTGTTCTGCCATCCACGTCTTGCAAGTGTTTTATTTATTTTTCTAATATCAAATTACAGGGGTAATTTTAACTTTTTAAGCACATATTTTCTTTGGTTTTTAAAGTTCTAAAATCTTCTAATGCTTATTTCCCAGGTTTGGCTGGTGATTTGAAGAAAGCAATGAAAGATGGAAAACCAATTATAATTGAGGTACATTTGTGTTTTTTTTTTCAACTAAAAAAAAAAACGTTTTATTATAATATAAAAAGGAAATGATATTAGGAGGTGTGATAACCCATATTCAAG